GGACGCACGCGGTGGAAGGACCGTGGGACCTCAGCCCCCGACCGACACTGCGCGCCGTCGAGGGCGCTGCCCGCGACGCCCCCTGGGAGTTGTAGTTTCCGTCCCCCTTCCTCGGGCAAGTTGGATTCTGTAGGAGCTATGGAGCTCTAGGGCCGGCGACTCACGGAAAGGAAAGGCGTGAAAATAGCTGATACAAGGAAGGGGATAAGGAAGAGAAAGTCTCCGGAGGAGTGGCGGTTTCCTGGAGTGAACACCAGAAACCCTAGGGTTGGGAAGGTGGGGGAGGAATCACCCGACTGCGTGAATTTCCTGTGTGCGCGCGCGCGGGTTTGCTATCACGTGAGCAGGCATTTAAAGGAAAAGTGGCGGCGTCACGTGAGAAGAAAGCCTTCCTTAAGCTTGAAGTTGCTTCATTTTCCTGATTCTGTGAAATCGGCACTCTGACACCTTCCCAAACGTAAATGACATTGTTTTTAGAAGGAATAATATTCCTACTGTGGCAATTTCTCACACTGTATGGGTCTGGAAGTTTAAAAATCAGTCCAAAAAGAAGTAAGGTATCATTAGAGATTTCAGGGCAGTGGAATTTCGCGTTTCTTTAATTGAGACCAAATCTTTTGACCTATTTATTCTAAAGAAATCATCTGAAATTAAGATAAATCAGTCAGCATAGAGGAATGTTAACTGCAGTGTGAATACTGATTTTTTTTTTAAGGTCTCATTCTATAAAAACAGCATTTCCAAATCACAGTGAAAAGAACTTGAAGAATTTACCAATTTTGTTTTCTACTACGTGCCTAAGAGATACCTAACTAAAAATTGGTATCTGACACAACAGAATGACGTTTACAGAATGTACTAGTAATATTGTAGTGACATTACTGAGATTGATTGTTACAAATTCTTTGAGTATTAAATGTTTACATCCTGATTACTTATATAGAACATTGGTCCAATAACAAAAATAAAGAACAGCAGCTGGAAATTTATCAAATTCCATGGTCAGAAATAAAAGGGTTAACCATTCTTTCAATTATTTTCTGAAGATAAGCCCCTTTTTCATATTGAAATCTGGTGACAATTAAATTCAGGTATCTTCCCAAGCTACTGTGTGAAGAGGATGCTGAAGGCCATCTCCAGCATACTGCAATATAAGGACTCTTCCAGCTCACCAATTCTGGCTCACTTCCAAAATATACCCACCAATCCAGTTTTATTTCTGTTCAGGAGGCTGGGTGCCAAGAATTTATATAAGCAGGGACTTACAAACAGCAGTAGATGCAGTCACCAGACTCTGAAAATTGAAAATGGCAGACACTGTGAGACCAGCGAAGCTCCAGCCACACCACCTTTCTAAACACTGACTTTGTTAAGTGATGGGATTTGGGGTGATTTTTTTAACTTTCTGGGTTCCTTTCTGTGTTATTTTAAGTTTGACATTTATTTTAGAAGGTGTACAAGCAAAGATGTGTATGGTGGCTTCATTTTTAATAACAAAAGGGGTATGTGAAACTCCTTTAATGTCCAACAATAGAGGGTTCCAGCCTTTAATATTCAGTTTGCCAAGAACTTTTTTTTAATGATAAAGAGAAATGAGAGCTTATGATAACATAGTAAACTAAAAAGCAGGAGACAACATTGCACATTTCATAAGATTTTAACTATGTAACTAACCCTTGGGGAGGGGGGGAGACATTATAATGCAGGTAACTCTGGGTAATAGATTATGGGATAGGTTATTTTGTCTGTATTCTCAGAGAAACTAAGGTAAAAGGGATCTTATAGTTTATGGTTGCTCAGAGAGTGATAGCCCTGACAACCCTAGGCCACTAGACATGTAGTGTTGGAAGTAACTTTTTTTCCCTGGCAAGAAGGAGAGGAGAAGCTCCATCTGTCCTACAGAATTTCGCCTGCCTTCACCTTCCCTGTGCTACTCCTGCCTTGCAAATCTGTTCATTTGTGGAGTTGTCCTTCCCTGAATGGAGGCTCATACCCTGGTCTTCAAAGTTGTACCTGAGGCTATATATTGGACGGCATCTGAGCATTGCCATTTCTGCAAAGCCCACAAGTACACCAGACACGAGGACTTTCTTAAGCTTCCTCTTCACACTCTGGCTTTCAGAGTTTCCTTCCTGTTGTAAAGAACCAGCACAGAGCTTCGTCTTCCAGCTGTCAGGGCAGGGATTAGCAGCTCTATAACTAATTTCTTTCTTCTCTCTAATGCACAAGGGAGCTCTGTACAGCCACCTGGCATATGTTGGAACTCACAGGCAGCAGCTGCCTACCTGGACTCCCACTAGAATTGATTACTAAGGGGATGAATTAGTTCTTCAGTGGGATGTGGTTACAAAATATAAGGAGTCAGAGGACTGGAAAGAAACTAATATTCAGGCAGTGTCCACTGGTTGGGTCAAACATCAGGGCACACTTCTTAGCCATTCTTAACTTCATCCTTACCCAGTTGCTGTTTCTGCCATCTTTGTTACTGAGGGACATTAAGCACAGTAATGGAGATAGCATACTGGAAACATGGCAATTAAGCACAAGTTTATTAACTATTTAGCTTATTAAATATTTAAACCATGGGTCCTTTTTCCCTCACTAGGCTCATTCAAGCTTCCAGACCCTAGCAGGCTTGAATGTATCTTTCCTGAAGGAAATTAAACGAACTTCTCTGAAGTGTCTGATAAATCAAAAAGAGAAGAGGAAATAGGCCAGCCGCATCACCCTTGGTAAAGACCATACCCAAGTTAACAGAGTTTCTGGAGAATCATTAATGTCATACTCAAGTATGAGCAGGTGGACAGAGTCACCAGATGTATGAAGACAGAGACCAACATAAGAAAACAGAAAAATGTAAATAAATAACTTGGAGGAAACAGGCTGTGCATGAAAAAGAAATCAAGACCCCCCCCAAAAATCATTAGTATCCCCAGAGACTGAAGGTAATTGTATTTGTGAAAGAATATGCTATTTCAAAAAGTGAACATTCAGAAAAATAAATGAGAACTTCAAAGTGAAAGCATTCTAGCAGAATTTAAAACTCAATAAAAGAAAAATTAAAAATAGGAAAGATGCATGATGTCTTTGCTCAGATTGTTGAACGATGGCTTATTTTATGGTTTTTATTTTTTTAAATATTTTTATTGATTTCAGAGAGGAAGGGAGAGAGAGATAGAAACATCAATGATGAGAGAGTCATTGATCAGCTGCCTCCTGCATGCCCCACACTGGGGATTGAGCCCAAAACCCAGGCATGTGCCTAGATAGGGAATCAAACCATGACCTCTTAACTCATAGGCCAACATTCAACCATGGAGCCACACCAGCCAGACTTACGGTTTTTATATTTGTGTCTAATTCATGTTATAACATGATAAATGAAATGCATTGTGCGGCTACAATTTTCTGGAAAAGTTTGGTCTTTTAGGAAATTTTTTTCAGATCTCCATTAAGTCTTTCTTTCAATTTCCAAAAAGACTGAAAGGAAGAGGGGGGCGAGGGAGGGAGGGAGGAGAGGGAAATGAATTAGAGGGTCAGTCCAGGAAGTTCAACATCTGAATTATATGAAAGCCAAAAAGAGACAACAAAGAAAATGGAGGGGGGATGCTAATCAAAAAAATTATTCAAACAATTCCCCCAAATTGAAAGATGAGAATATCCAGAATGAAAGGGGCCATTCGGAGCTGAGCCTAATAGATGAAAATAGACCTATATTAACATACAGCATGTAAAATTTCAAAATTTTGGGACAAAGAGATGATCCTTCAAATGTCTGGAGTGGATCAAGGATACATTTTAACAAAGGCTCAAGTGTCAGAAAGATACTGAACTTCTTTTTAAATGTTTTTATTTATTATATTTAGAGAGACAGAGGGAGAAAGACATCAATTCGTTCTTCCAATGTACTCATTGATTGACTTTTTAATATACATATTTATTGATTTCAGAGAGGAAGGAAGAGGAGAGAGAGATAGAATCAGCAGTGATGAGAGCGAATCATTGATTGGCTGCCTCCTGCACGCCCTCTACTGGGAATCGAGCCAGCAATCCGGGCATATGCCCTTTACTGGAATTGAACCTGGGACCTTTCAGTCCACAGGCTGATGCTCTATCCACTAAGCCAAACCAGCTAGGGCGTTCGATTGATTTTTGTATGTGCCCTAACCGGAGATCGAACCTGCAACTTTGGGGTCCCACAACCTTGGTGTATTGGGACAATGCTGTAACCAACTAAACTACCTGGCCCAGGTGATATTGAACTTCTTAAAATTAGTTCTGGAATCTAGAAGATAATGCCTTCAAATACTATAGGCCCTCCATTTGCCTTCTGTAGAGAATAAACTGACAGTCAGCCAAGATTGGGTAGGACAGTCATCTAACTGCAGAGTTAGGTAGGGGATCAGTTTTCATTTTCACCCTCCTGTTTTTATTTCTACCTTCTGAAGCACCTGCTCCCTTGAATTCAGAGCCTTTTGACAGTGCTGCAATATGCATTTCTCTACTGTTGACTAAGATTTGAGCTTTTTCAAGTCTGCTAAATTTCCACTCATCGTTTCTTTTCAACTTTCAAAGGCGGTTACTAATAGCTCCTCGCCACTAATAGCTACCTCTTTTTGTCTTCCTTGTGGGTGAAGAATGAAAAAAAGCTAAGTCCTTATTTTCTATATTGGAGAGTAGTTTACAGTTGTATGAGAAACAG